ACAAGCTAAAAGTCTTCCCCTGCCCCCCATCATTTATGTACTTGATTTTCATATTGGTATATATCCGTAGTATATTTAATTCTAAGAGTTAAAGTCAAATACTATACTTTTTTGTGCAAATTATTTCAACCTGGGTCATTAGGAGCTCTTTCAGGTTGATTCCTTCTCTTTCTTCTTGTTCCTTCCCCTTCCTCATATATCCATTTTTGGTACTGGGGATTAAATTTCAGGGATGCCTTACCGCTTAGCTATATCTCCCCAGTCCTTTTTACTTTTTTGAGACAGACTATTTAAGCATCTCACTCTGTTGCTTAGGCAGCCTTTGAACTTGCAATCCTCCTGCCTCAGCCTCCCAGGTCACTGAGATTATAATTGTATGACCTGCTCACTTTTATGGTGAATTTTCTGCTCATACGTTTTCTCCACTTTTAAAATTAGGTTTTGCCCTTTCTTCTTCCTAATTTACATTTTAATAAAATCATTTGGCTATTGTGCTGATGCCAAGTTGTAGGACAACACTGGCGGAAGTTGAAAGGTAGTTATTTCAGAAACCCAGATGAGAAAGATAATCACAGTCGAGTTAGTGAGCTTCCAGGTATAATATAATAATCAAGAGAATTTCTAAAAGACTGTTTGTAGAGCATAAAACAAAGAGAAAAATCTAGGTGAACTCCAAAATTTCTATTTTAAAATGGAAGACTGGATTTGCCACTGATATAAATAGGGAAGATCTTTATTGAGGCAAATTTTGGGTAGGCTGTTTTTAAGGCCTTTTGTTATATACCAAAGACTGGAAAAAAATGGTTAAATGGTGGTTCCAATCCATGCTTTCTGCTTTCCAGAATGGTCTATACCATGTACAACCAAAACATGGGGATCTTGATTAGAATAAGATGTACTCCATGTTTGTAAAAATGGGTCAAAATGTACTCTACTGTCATGTATAATTAAACAGAATAAAAACTGTAGTATGAATGATAATCAAAATTTGGTTTGTGTTTGAGATTATTTCAAAATGCCCATTAGACTCCCAAGGGTAAATATCATGGAGGCAACTAAATACAGAAGTTTAGGGTCCAGAGAGTAGTAGATATTTTGATCCTCAAGAACTAGATGAGACCATCACATGAGTATAGATATAAAATAAAGGCATAAAAGGTTTGAGCTCTAAGTAATTTCAACATTGAGAAAATCTGAGAAGGGGAGGAAACAGCTAAAGAGATTGAGAAGAGTCAATGGGGTATTAGGAAAACAGAATAATGGGTCCTGGAAGCAAAGTGAAGAACACATTTCATTAAGGACAGAATGATCAAAGGCGTCAAATGTTATTGACTAGGACAAATTGACTACTAGATTTAGCAATATGATAGATATTGAAGATTCTTGACAAAAGCAACATTAGGGCTTGGTATGATGGCATACATCTATTCAATAAATATCCCCGTGACTCAGAAGGCCGAAGCAGGAGATCACAACTTCAAGGCCAGCCTCAGCAACTTAGTAAGACTGTCTCAAAAAAAATTTTTTTTAAAGGGCTAGGGCTATTGCTCAGTAGTAGAGTGCCCCCAGGCTCAATCCCCAGTATGCTTCACCTTCCCCCAAAAAAGGAAAAGGAGAAATAAAAAATTCTAGTTAGGGTGAATTTCAGATTGAGAGTGTTAACATTTGAGATCAGAAATATGGATTATGGAAAATCATGAAAAAGGAGTCAAGCCACATTTCAGTATCATGGAATACAATATCAGAAGAAACATTGGTGCTTGATTACTTTCATGAGTTGCAAAGTCTTAATAAATGAGCAGAAAAATAAAACAGGTATGAAAATGAAATAAAATGATGTCTATTATGGTTTTAATTGCATTTATTTAACAAACACTGATAGTATGCTTATTATATGTAAGACACTATTCCAAGAATCTAAAATGGAAGTTATCACTTTCCAGTCTTTAAAAAAAATTTAAGATTATTCTTTTCCAAACTTTAAAAATACTAAAAAAGGAGCCCACAATTTTGTTATCTTCTTTTATCTTCTTTAATACCAACTGTCCAAAGTTGAGTTCACTATTTCCTATAAATCATCTCCTCTTCAGTCTTCTCTGTTAATGGTATTACTACCCATCCAATTCCTCAAGTAAACATATCTGTTAGTCATGCTTAATTCTTTTGTCCCTTTACCCACATTCAATATGGCCATAAATCCAGTAGCCATTAAATTAAAAATATAAATTTTTTTTACCACTCTCAAAGTGGGTTGCTTTTACCTCAACCACTGAAATGGCCCACTGACTTATTTTTAGCCTACTTATCCATTTACCTTACCCCAGACAATGACCTTGGACCAGTTGTCTTCTCTTCCTTATCTATAAGATTAGTGAATTACTACAGGCAAAATACCAAAAAAAGTGTCTGGGGAAAAAAAGTGAATTATTAAATATTCTAATTGTTTTACTTGCATTTTGGTTTACTTTAAATACATAAATCAGCTTATGTAACCCTCCTGCTTAAAATCCTCCAATGGCTCCTTCTCACAATTATAATAAAATCCAAATATTATAATAAAATCCAAATGCTTCTATAAATCCCTGTAATCACCCGCCTTTCAAAATTTATCTCACTACATTTCCCTTTGCTTACTATTAGAAGGCAAACTCCTTCCTCCAACAGAACCATAGTTTCCTGTTCCTTCTACTTGCAATGTTCTTCCCTGACAACCCTGTACAAATCACCCATCATTAGGTCTCAGGTGTCATCCCTTCAGAGGTTTCTCTACTTATCTAAAATAATTACCTGTCACTCTCCTGTCCTTTATCCTGATTTTATTTTCTTTACACCACTCTCATTCTCCATAATTATTTGCCTATGATCCCTTTCTTCCTTAATCCATGCTTTATTTACCATTGTATTCTTAGTACAATATCGATCCTGAATAACTAAAAAATCAGTGGCAGATGTGGGAATCATTATCACTTCAGTCAATTCAATCAGGATTCTAGCTTTATGTTCTTTATGATTCTACTGGCCTTGCCCTCTCCCATGCTATTGGTTTCATATTTGTGTTGACTCCCCTCTGAATGGCAAAATAGCTACAACAGTCCTTTTTTGGAACCCAGGAGGTAAGTGCCTAAAAAAGAAAACCTGTCCCTCAATTGGTTGATCCCTGATGCAAGAATACCAGGAACTACAACAGTTCTTTAAAGGAACTACATTACTTAGTAGCTCACAAACTGTACAGTCCCTAGTCACCAAGACAAACTTATAGAGATGTAATGCTATAACTTGGATCTTAAGGGTCCCTCATAGGTCCATGAGGAGACACTTGGGTCTCCAATGTGGCAATATTGGAATGTGGTGGCAACTGAAGGTGGAGGACCCTATCAGGAGGTCTTCAGATCACCTCAAAAAGGACCCAAGCCATGAAGTGAGATCAGCTCCACTATGCACTCCCGACCCTGACATGCTGCCTTGCCACAGGCCCAAGAGCAATAGTGCCAACCTAACATGGGTTGAAATCTCTAAAATCATGAGCCAAATCTCCAAAATTTTAATAAATTTATTAACTATTCGTTATAGTGACAGAAAAATGACTAACACATGCAGTACATTATCCTAATTTTTTGAGGGTGGTAAATAGCTATTTGACTTTGTATTAGCTGTTAGTTTAAGTAGTTCAAAAGTTCAGCATATCAAATTGAGACTGATGTTTTTGGAAACTGCTGTGACAAAAAGCAAGCACTGTTATTACAATTAATACGTAACAGGAATTAAGGGCAGAAGTAGCATCTGAGGTCTAAGTTGTGCAGTGCCCAATTGTCATACCATTTCAATACTTAGGTTTTGTTTTTAAAGATTAAGTATTTTTTCTTCAATTTCTATGTTATTTCTTCAAATGGCTACTATGATGTTACGACTTGCAGAAGACAGAATTCTAAGATAATTCTCATCCATGATTCCTTTGTGGATGAGGCCTAGAACATGAATCACTTTTATGTTAAATTGTATAGCAAAGAGATCATTGGGGTGGGCCTGATGTGATGACACAAACCCTTTAAAAATCATCATTTTATATGGGTGGTGGCATTAATCAGAAAGATTTGAAGGGTGAAAGATTGGATGTACCATTGCTGACTTTGAAGGTTCAGGAAATAACTGGATAAGAGTTTAAGTGTTCCCCCACCAGTACTTGAAAAAAAATTAGAACTTCAGTCCCATAACCATAGGGAACTATATTCTGTCAAAAATCAGAATGAGACTGAAAGTATTCTTTTCCAGAGCCTCTAGATAAAAAGCAATCCTGGTTGACATCTTAATTTTGGTTTTGTGAAACTTTGTACAGAGAACCCAACCAAGCCCACTTGGACTTCTGACCTATAGAACTGAGAAATAATGTTGTTTTAAGCTGCCAAGTTGTTAATATGTTATGCAATAATAGAAAAAAAATCCAAAACACTTAATGAGTTATTTTGACCTACTGGTACCATAAATAAACGTCTGAGACACTAAAAGCGCCCTAAATCAAGAAAGCCTGGGAGCCTTTGGCTTAGACAAATCAGAAGGAAAAATAAGCCCCATAAATGTACACAAATAATAATACAATGAAACTAAATACAGTACAGGAACAAAGTTAGCAATGGAGGAAATTAAAAACAGAATGTAATAAAAATAGAATGAGTTGATATTGTTTTTGACAATTAAGAATTAGAAAAATGTGAGATGGCACTTGAGAAATGGTCAATGCCTTTTCCCAAAGAGTCCATAATAAGTGCATCTGAAGCAACAAGATAAACTTTTTTTTTTTTTAAGAGAGAGAGAGAGAGGGAGAGAGGGGGGGAGAGAGAGAGAGAGAGAGAGAGAGAGAGAGAGAGAGAGAGAGAGAATTTTTAATATTTATTTTTTAGTTCTCAGCGGACACAACATCTTTGTTGGTATGTGGTGCTGAGGATCGAACCTGGGCCGCACGCATGCCAGGCGAGCGCGCTACTGCTTGAGCCACATCCCCAGCCCCGAGAAACTTCTATCTTGAAACTTCTGAACTAAAGAAAGGCCTATGAAAAGATTCAGTGTTGAGGAAGGAATTCAATGAAAGTTTGGAACTATGGGAAGCTAAGTGCTCTATAAATACCTAAGCAGAAAAATAATGTAACAAAGTACTTAAGTTATAAAGAGAAAATACTATAATTATCTGGGTAGTAAAACCAAATTGTCTTCAAAGGAACTAAGATCAATTGGCTCAAGCTACTCTTTGGGAATTAAATTTGTCCTTCCAGTTTTCACAATATTTCACTCAGCTTTCAGCTACACTGGTATTCTTTTACTCTTCACATAGGCCATACTCTCTCCTACCTTTCGGTTCACTGTCTCCCTTTGATGGGAAAGTTCTTCCATATCTACTTCTTATCCCTTCAATAATTTAAATCCTGTTTCCTTTCAAATCTCAGTTCATAATTTTTAAGGAAAAGTTGACTTCTCTACCTAGACAAAAACAGGACATGAGACTGCAATTGCGTAGAAAGGATGTTCAAAGAGCTGTACTTTAATTCAATTTGCTCCTGTTGGAGCTCTAGCCCTCATCACTTTTACTCCATGTGATAGGAGTCACTGACATGTAATAAAGAATGACTTGTTTCAAAAGGATCACTGGTTGTTGTACTGAGACAAGGCTGTAGGGGCAGAAAGGAGGGAGAGGGCTTAAGAGGCTACTAATAATCCACTCCAGGGCCTAGCGCATGGAAGATGAAAAGTGGTCAGATTTGAAGTATTTTGAAAGCAAAACCAAATGAATTTGAAGTAAAGGCAGGGTGTGAGAAAGAAGTAAAGAATGACAAGTTTTTTTGGCTTTAGRAACAGATAAGATATTGTCATCAGCTAAAATGGAAAAAATTGTGGGTAAAGTTGGTTTGGGGAAAGAACACAAGTCCTATTTTGGCCAAAAGTCTGAGGTGTTTATTTAGATATCTAATAGAGATTTAAATAAGCATTTGGCTATAAAAGTCTGGATCCAAGACAGAGATTTCAAAGTAAAGAAAATCTGTTGCTTGTTAACATTCAGTGTTTAAAGCCACAAACTGGATGAGAAAGTGAGCAAAAGCAGAGAAGCAAACCAAAGGAATGAAACCTAGAGCACTTAAATATTAAGAAATTGGGGAGAAGGAACCAGAAAGAAGACTGAAAATGAGCCACACACTGACACAGAAGTGTGATCTACTGGAAGTGAAATCAATGTATATCAAGGTAAAAGGAAACAGGACACTTGGTTGTTCTTTGCAACAAATCAATATCATAAAAAGAAATTGATACAACGGCTAAATAAAACACGTAGTCCTAACTTTGATTCTGCTTTGGAAAAAAACAGTTGAAAATGATATCCTGCGGTCAAATAGGTGAATGTGGTGTGAATATTGAAAGAAATGAAAGTTTATTGAAAGGCTGAAAACTGTTAACTTTAAAAGCAGGATAAAAAAATAAAAACCTATTTTGGTAAAAAATATACATACAGAGAAGACTGGAAAAGATATACATTAAGGTGAATGTATAACTTTAGTGATGAATGCTCAATGATGGGACTGTGAAGATTTGATTTTTAGCTTGCTATATTTTCTAATTTTTTCCACAATGAACATGCATTACTCTGTAATAAATATTTTAAATATTTATCAAAGTCATTAATGATTTATGAAATTATTAAGAAGACTGACAGGTGACCTTAGGATTAAATAACATGGAAATCACTGAGGACCTTGACAAGATCTATTTAAGTAGAGGCAGCAAAACTGAATGGAACTGTTCAGCAGTTCCACATAATGTTAAACACAGAGTTACTGTATAACCCAGCAATTACATGCCTAGGTACATACTCAAAGTAGTTGAAAATATATTCATACAAAAATTTGCACACAAACATTCATAGCAACATTTTTAGTAGCCCAAAGTGGAAATAATCCAAATATCCATAACAGATGAATGGAAAAACAAAGTGTGATACAATTGGCCCTCTTTGTCTGCAGGTTCCACAACAAACCATGCATCAAAAATTTGGATTTTTTTTTTTTTTGTCTGTACTGAACACATACAGACTTTATTTTTTTCAATATTTCCTAAACAATAAGGACAATTATCTACACAGAATTTACATTGTACTAGGCATTACAAGTAATATAGAAATCATTTAAAATATACAGGAGGAGATAAGTAGCCTATTAGCAAATGCTATGCCATATTATAAAAGAACTTAATTATTCAAAGATTCTGATATCCCTGGGAAGGGTTCTGGAACCAATCTGTCACAGATATTGAGGGATGACTATATATTCATACAAGAAAATATTATTCAGCAAAAATTAATGAAGTGCTGTTGCCTCCTACCACACGGATGAACCTTGAAAATATTAGGCCAAGTAAAAACAAAACTAAACTAAACTAAAATATATTGTATGACTCCATGCAGATGAAATGTTTGCAACAGACAGTTTTACAGAAACAGTGGTACTTAGACAGGAAAGGATAATGAATGGGGTGATGGCTATGGTATAGGACTTGTTCCTGTTGTGTTCAAAGTGTATTGATGGTTGCACACCTCTGAATAGAATAAAAACCACTTTAAAAAGGGAGAATTTAGTGCTATGTGAAATATATCTCAATAAAGCTATTTGCAAAAATAAAAAGGCAGCAGAGTCTAGTTGATGTACTTATTTCAATCCTATTCAGTATTTTTTGATTTAGTATTTTCTCTGTTGTTGCCAGGACACATTTTTAAAAATCTTATTCCCCCATATTTGCTAATCATTTTCTAATTCTTCTCTCTTCTTAATCTCTATCCCCACACTACGTTCAAACTCTCCAAAATTAAAAAAAAAAAGAAAAATGTATTCCTCTATTAAGAAAAACTACATTTCACTGTGTAAAAAGTATTGATACTTTTTACACCATCTATATAATATATGAACATATTACCAAAGGAATAAAGGGAGAGGGGGTTCTGCTGTCTAAAGATACATCACTTTAAGCCAACAATATATCAAATAGCCTAAATTCCAAATATTATTTTGGATTATATAAAATAACTGACAAATTACAAAACAGGTGTCCTTCCCTCTTGAAAAATGGTTAAATACTTAAGTGATGCTGCTATACTACATTTTTAATGAAATTTTTAAAATCAACAATGGTAGATAGAAGTTATCATTATTTTACAGGTAAAGAGACCAAGAGAGTACTTTTAAAGTCAAAGGTAAATTTAAGTTTACTGCTAATTTCCTCTCTTGGACTGTAAAATTTAATTTAATAGTACACACTAATTATCTATTGTTGGAGTAACACCTGAGCAATTTAGCTAAAGATACAACAATAACAAAAACCTTATATACAAATATTCAAACTTGGGAAGTTTTCAGTTAAAATAATAGAAAAATATAAATTTTTTCCTTCCAGAAAAAGGTATCTAAGAAAATGGTTCAGACACCTCATGTATATTATTCACAAGTCATACATGAATCACCCTCTTCTGTATTTCTTAAATTCTATAATAAACTGATGAAAAAACAGGTTTCATTTTCAGAATACATCTATATTAACAATAGTCCCGCTGTTTATCTGCAGTTTTGCTTTCTGTGATTTCAGTTATCCACCATCAACTGCTATCCAGAAATATTAAAGCAGAACATTCCAGAAAGAATTAATTTATTATAACTTTTTAAAAAATTCTGTCATTTTGAGTAGTGTGATGAAATCTTACACTCCCCTGGCTCAAGMCATGAATCATCCCTTTGTCCAGGGTATCCACTCTATATCTGCTACCTGACCTTTATTCACTTATGTAACTGTTATCAGAGTGACTGTCAACAGTATTACAGTGCTTGTATACAGGGTTCAGTACTATCTCCACTTTCGAACCTTCCATTTGAATAGCATTTCTGGTAGATAAGGGTGGAATAATATACTAATATAAAAGTCTATTTAAAAAACACAGTTATTTCATATTAAAGTCTTTCAATACATAACATTTTTATTATTTTTGTTGCATCTTCTTACGCATTTCTTCAAGAGCTGCTTCTTTCTCTCTTAGCACTTGTTTAAGTCTTCTTATTTTTTCATCTCGGACGGTTTCTTCTAATTCTGGTGGTGTCACTGGAAAAATATCTTCAGTATATTTTTTACTAAAGAAATTACTTTGTTCAAAAGCTGCATATGAACTCAATGCACCTTTCTCCTCCTTCTTGTGGGAACAGTGTTCTACTTCAGTTATCTTTTCTTCTCTGGTTTTGCTGCAGCTTGTGGGAATGTTATTTTTTGATACGTCTGAAGTCGGTACAACACTGCATAGGGGTTGGGAACTGGTGACAATAGTTACCCCATTTATGACTGTGTTGCAGGTACTCTCAGTTTTTCTCTTCTTTGTGTGATCCATCTTCTTCATGTTTTTGGATTTTCTTTTCTTATTAAAACCCTGTTGCAATGTTGAGTAAGATCATGAAAAAAAAGTTATTGTCATATATATAATGTGCTCTCAAATTTAACAAAATTTGCAAACACAAATATTTAGCAAGTAAACTCAATTCAATGAAATTTACTTGGGCCAGTAATAGCAAAAAAGACCGGGATCCTACTGTGTGGTATCAAAACAAATAGCATTGCATATAATCATAGTCACTGAGAATAAACTGCTTAATTCACACCATTTCTGTTCACGTATTAAAAGCTCTATGGACATACCAGCAAAATACAATAGCACTTGTGAAGCACCTGAGAAATAGCTGATTTAATTTTTTTTTCTTTTCCTTTGCACAGAAGATATATGTGGAAGGAAGCTTTTCATTGGGCAGGGTTGAGGTTCAGAATACTAGATGATAGATGACCATATAGTCATAACCAGAATGACAATAGATAAAGTTACAGGGACATATCTTTTCATTATTACTGACCACTTAGGTTGCTTACAATGTATTAATAGTAAAATTGCAATGAACATCTGCATGCTTATATTTTCCACATTTGGATAATCAGTTGAAATGTTATGGTCTGTTCTTGTATTACAATGGGAAAAAAAGATAATAGGTGAATAAAAACACTTAAAACAATGTCTTAACTGGGGATAGATTTTTATCTGTGCATGTTTCTTTTAAACATTGTTTTGGTATAATACATACTTGCAAATTTGATAACAATCACCATTCATACCAGTGCACAAAACTAAAAACCAAATTAAAAAAAACTAATATATTCATATATTTTTGTAGTATTTACAAGGGACACTTTAAGACCTATTACCTGTTTTCTCTCTTGTTCTTTCACCACAAACTCTGTCTCTGTGTTAGTACTACTCTTCATCACACTGCTAAAGGAATCAAAACTTTTTCCAGAGTGCAAATGATCAGGAATTCGAGTAAGGCACACTCGCAAATCTTTAGTGAGACCAAATATCTTTTTAAATTCAGCATCGCTCTTCAGACATGATGCCTTAACACTATTTCCTTGAGAGACTTTCTTGTCATTTCTTCCTTGAGAGACTTTTCCTAACGTTGATGCCATCTCATTCTGTATCTGGAATTAAGAAAACACAAACAATACTACTAATTACTCAATTTATCAGACTAGTAACTAAGAGATTATTTAATCTTTCATAAAAAAGATATCATGCTTTTAAGGATTCGCATTACCTTTACCTTACCACCCACACTCAAAATACTGAATTTAAATAAAATCTAAAATAATTCCCCTGCAATTTCTACCTTTAGCTTGTTGCACTAGAAAGGTAACAGTCCATTCTCAAACAACTGAAATGAGAATAGAGGCCAATAACTACTTTAAAAAAAAATGTAACATTATTTAGAAATTAGTCTTCTGAAACATTATGTCTTTAATCAATTGTGTAATTATCAGAATTCACTTCCTTACATCTCTAAAGTTTAATGGATTATTACTGAAGAGGAAAAATACTGACATTATAAAGCAGACCTCTAAGTAAAACAAGGAAAAGGTAGGTACATGAGTATATAATAAGCACACAAACATTCATATCTTAAGAACAGAGGGTATTGGTGGGCATGAGGAGTCAGAGAGAAGGGCTAAAATAAAGAAAAAAGAAACCTGTTTTAACAAAAATAAATAAATAAACCCACCACCAAAGATAATGATAAAATCTTATTTCCACAAACAACTGAAAGATACTGACTAGTCCTATCCCACCCTTTCCACATTAAAAAGAAAAAAACCTGAATATTTCTCCAATACCTTCTCTCTCTCTCACACACACACACCTCCTCAAAAAACCCAGTTCTCTATATACATGTTGCTTTTTTCATATACTAAAAGCATATTATTATATATATATATATATATATATTTATGTATGTACACAATTTTACTAATCTTTGAAGTCGTATAATCCTCCCCCCAACTCTTCTAAGAAAACTTGCTGTTCTGCTTTTTTTTTTTTTTTGGTTGTTGTTGTTATTAGTTTGTTTTTGTTTTGAAGAGTTGGTATCCAAATGATTCAAGATATTGTTTGGACTTGCCTAATTGTACTCCTTCTCTCCTTAGATGAGAGTTTTGATTTAATTAAGTATATGCATGATGGAGTGGGGGTGGGTAAAAGAGGTATCATAACTGAGAATTAAGAAAGAAAAAATTTCTATATAGATATATAAAAAGAATACCCTGACATGGGAAAATTACCTTTGATTCTTGGTCTCTGAAAACATACTGTTGTGAAGTAACAGTTGTTGCATCAACAGAGGAATTTATTTTCTCTATGCTCTGGATCGTATTTCCTTTTCTGGGGGCATTCTGTCCTGTACTAAATCCATCTGGAAAGACTGGCTTTGTGAATAAAGTCTTACTCTGTTTTAGGTAGTTACTGGATTGATTCATGTTATGTGGGTTTGTGGTAGAAAGAGATGATTTTTCGAACATTTTATTCTTCTCTGCACTTAGATTAATCATGGAAGCAAGCTGGGTATTTGTAAGTGATTTTGTCTCCATCTGTAAAGATTTACTTTTAGCCAAAACAATATTTACAACCTCTCTGGATATTTCTGTGACAGGACTTGAACTCACTACCTGTGATGTGTTTTTTCTTAGTGGAATATCAGGAGAAACAGAATTCTGATGATCAATTTGTGATGGCAAAATATCTGCCCCCTTTTTAGCCAACAGATAGACTTTCCCATTAAACATAACCAAAGCATTATCTTTAATTGGCACACTTATGGATTGTGTCCCACTAGGACTGATGGTACTCAATGATGGCATATTTACAGTATTATCTCCCAAACTTTTCCTATCTACGAAAGTTTTTAAAATCTTTGAAGCCACATTATTTGAAGATTTAACAGGAACAAGAGATGGAGTACAAGGCCGTAGATTTTCTTGAAAAATCCATTTCACTGGAGCAGCTTGAGAATGCTGACCACCTTTTAATTGTGTCTCTGCAGCAACTTTCGATGGAATTTGGGTGGTATTTAGTATCAATGGCTTTGCTATTTCTTTAACAGGTTTTGGATAGATATTTTGAAAGTTCTTGGTAACTACATTTTTCACTGTATTTACAGGAGATACATAAATAACTGTTGGTATTTGGGAGGACTCAACTGCTCCTGAGGTACTTGTGGTTGCAGCTGCAAGTATCTTTTGCTGAACTGAAGGAGGCAATGATGATGCAGGTACGGATTTCACTTCAGCATGGGCTGGAATTTGTAAATGATGCCCGGAAGGCAAAACTGGAGACTTCACAGTCATTGGAAGATTCGGGGTTTTGACTACAATATAAGATGAATCATTTTGTGTTGAGGGAGGAACAGCAAATGTTTGCATGGTGAGTCCATCAATTTTCACACCATGACTCTTAACTTTAGAAACTGATGAGGTAAAATTTTCAGTTCCCACAGAAGTAACTCTACCTTTTTCTGCTGTATCTACTGTTCTTGTAAGAAAATACTTTGAAGAACTGGCTGGCTGAAAAATGGGCAATTGAACTGATGCACTTGTGGAAGAGCTGGAAATCTGAGTCTGAAAAGTAACTTGAACTGGTTTTCCTGTATTCCCTTTCAAAGCATCAGACATGACTGAAGATTGAACTAGTGGGATAAGATTTCCAGAAGAATTAGGAATTGGAAGTAATTGCAGAAGATTTTTTCCGTCCGAGCCAATCGTCTGAACTACTTGATACATGCAGCCTGAAACACTTAAAAGAACATTTTGAGTAAATAAATACAACATACTACATGGTATATACATTTTATTTTTAAACAAATATTTGCAAAAATTATTTTAAACTATTAAAATATAATAAAATACATAATTTCTTATTTTGAGTTTGCAAAGAGAAATATCTCATAATTAGGCAATAGATATGAGATATTAACATTTTTTCTCAGTAGAGATTTCTAAGGTTTTACCCTATATGATACTAGAATAGACTCCTTGAAACTATCAGCATTATCCCTTCTCCATTTCCTTGAATTCTTTCCTTTTCTCCTTTACTTTTATTAGCAGGATTCTCATTCCCACCTCTACTTATGTTTATTCTTTTATTCTCACTTTTTTTCTTTCAAATCTATTCTATCCTCTTCCAACTGACAATGAATCACAAGTTCAGTTGTCAACCACTTTTATTTTCCTTAAGACATCTCACATGGTGATATGCTAGTATGCCACATTTCATACTATAGAGTTAACTGGGTTTCTCATGTAAGAACCATTTCCTCTTGTGATTTTTGTTATAGTACATTTGAGGTTTGGTGCTAAATAGTCTCTTGTCCTTATATTAGTTTAATTATCAATTGTCTCATCAACCCATCTGTATAATACTACGGCAATTTTAGCTGAACAGTTGTCAATGAAGGTAGAACAGACTGGAAATCAACACATTCTTTGTAACTAAGCCAACTGTGATGCTCATCGATTGTTAGATTTTAAGAAAAGTCAATACATACTAAATCTCTGTATAATAAATTATTTGGTGATTACTTAAATGCAGACATCTTAAGTTATTTATAACTAAAACTATCTTTCAGTTCTTGAAAAATATTGAGCTCTCATGGTCTCCAGGGCCATCTTACATGCTATCAGTCTACCTAAGTACTCTTCCCAGACATAATTCATCATAGAGCTCAAGTCTCAGAATAATTAATATTTCTCAAGAGATACATTCTCTGGTCAACTTAACTTCCCATGTCTTTCCTTCATAATTAATCTATAACATTATATCAACTAACTCCCTTTGACACAGGATGTTATATAATAACAGTGTTTGTTTTCATATCTATAGACTGTCTCCTATGCTAAATTACAGCAACATGAGTAAGAGTCCATATGGTTTTCATATACTCAATGAATAAAAAAAAAAATCAAAAGGACATTTTACGATGTGAAAATTATACGAAATCCAAATTTCAGTATCTATAAATAGGTTCTTAATATTACCCAAAGTCACACTTTGTATTTTGTACATGGCTGCTTTCATGCTAAATGATAGAGTTGAATAGCTGCAGCAGAGATCATATGGTTCTCAAAGACTAAAATATTTACTACCTAGTTCTATACAGAAAAGTGTTTGGTGGCTCCCCAGATACACCAACTTGTAATCTCTTAAACTACTGTGTAAGTGGATATGTAGAGACAATTATCATTAAGTAAGATAAAGGATGTATTTGAAAGAATACAAAAATGCTTATTCCTTTTGTTAAAATATTCTCTTCCCAAGGCTTTCAGTTTCTTTGCTAACTCATCCAATCTGAAGGACAGAACTCTTCTTCCTACTCTGTACTTTTTCCTACATTTCTTTTATATAAATAACTTTGATTACTAAAATACCACTTATATGTCAACAATTCCCATATTTATATTTGTACCTTCTTTAAGATACAGGCTTATTATATATACCTCTACTTCCCCTTGACATTTTTTTCAGAATCTTAAAGGCTCCTAAAACTGCATGGCTAGACTATCTCTGCCCATCATTACACTCAAAATTCCTTGCTATCTCATCTCTTAGGCACCTAATTCAGAGCACGTAAATCTTGTTTTCTCATCCCTTGTATCTAATCCATCAGAAATCCTATCGATATCATTGTTTAAATTTCCATTACCTGTTCAATTATTTCCAAATCAACTGTTGCCACTCTAAGATAAGGAAATATCATCTCTGACTTAAGAGTACTCCAGTAGCTTCAAAATTTCTTTTTCCCTTTGGTCATAGATATCCTCTCCCTTTTAGTTCCATTCAGTACACTAAAACTGGTCCTTCCTGGCTTACAACATTTCTAGTTGCTTCCCATTATTCTTCGAATGGCAGAAAGAAAACCATTACTTCTGATACAATGGAAGCCAAAGGAAGAGAGGATTTAAAGAAAATTGGGCAATTATATGGAAAGCTTCTGAGAGTCCAGAAAGAATGAGGATTAAAAATATACACTGGATGGGCTGGGATTGTGGCTTAGTGGTGGAGCATTTGCCTAGAATGTGTAAGGCCCTGGGTTCAAGACTCATCACTGCATATAAATAAGTGAATAAAATAAAGGTTCATCAACATCTAAAAAAAATAAAAACATATACACACTGGAGGAAAGACTGGCAAGAAGCTAGAAGAGGAAAAGCGGAGTTAAAGAAGAGAACTTTCTTTTTTATTTATTCATTTTTTAAGGTTAGATGAACCAAGGCATATGTAAATGCTCATATGAACCAGTTAAGAGAAAGAAATTAATAATTAAGAGAGAAAAAGATGACCAATAAGGAGTTATCAAATAGAAACCAGAAGACAAGTAGAGGAATTAAAACTTATAGCAGGAGAAATATCTTCTTCTATTGGAATTGAAAGGAAGGTTAGGTATACTTGCAGGTAAGGTACATAACTTTGGTGTCAGCTGCAATTCTGATCTGATAGCATTTATTTTCTTCATGAAAAAGGATATGACATCATCTACTGGGAATAAGAGCAAACATAGGGAGAGATTTGAGGAGGATCAAAAATTTGGAACACTCTTTGTGAAAGAATAAGCTGACCATAGAAAATATTAGAGTTGTCAGGTGTGTACTAATGGATGAGGGAGGCAGGTAGTAATTATGAATTTGTAGTGCTACTAATTTGTACTCTTGTGAAATTTTCTTTCTCTCACTATATACAAGTAAAGAGAAAGCATACTGCTGAATTCACACAGGATGGCGATGATTTCAGAAGGGTACAATGAAAACTGAAAAGGAAATTGATAAGAGATATTAAAATGATAAAACAGAATCTAAACTAGACACAAAGGAAATTAAAGAATCAAGGTTAAAATATAAAGAAAAAGGACTGGAACGTCATATAAAGTTAAAGAAGTCATAGTGAAGCCTAGGGTATAGCTCAGTGGTAGAGCACGTGCATGCTCAATCCTCAGCATAAAAAAAAAAAAAAACCCAAAAAACCACAATGGAAGTATTTAACAAGTAAGCTAGAAATATAAGACCTGATATTTAGAAAGCAGGATGCCTGAATCAATAATTCTGTAGATGCAGCAATTTCATCTGATAACAAGGACTACAGAATTAACTGGCTATGACAGAATGGAGAATAAAAAAACTGGGGGAAAAGATCTTCATATCAAAGAACCAGGCAACAAAGATATTATCCATATAGATGTTGAAGTCATACAGAATTAGAAAGAAGACTGTGAGCTAGATGCCTAGTTCAATGGCAGGAAGACGGTAGATACTCTTAATGAGCCACAATTAAGAACTGATATTCCAGAAAGTTGTCTTGAAGCCCACTTTTTTGCAGTCTATTTTCTATCCTACAATTCTATTAAAACTTCATTCTCAAATATTACCAAATACGTCTTCATAGTTAAGTCTGTCTTCATCCTCATTCCCTTCGTACTGTCTGTTGCCAAGTGACACTGATGGCCAATTATACTTTCATCTTGAAACTCGTCTCATTCTTTTTGTGGTTTCTAGTGTGTACAATTTGTTTCTCTTGATTTTCTTTGCCCTCCCTTCCTTATTCATTTTTCRGCATTTTAAGTATTCAATCATGGCTATTCTTCAAAGTATAGTTCTTGACTCTGCTTTTCTTCTTTAAGACATTCTTCCTTAAAGAGTACACCAATTTTCATGGTTTCAAATATTCCCCTCAACTACTTCCTTCGTAATACTGGCTCCTAGGGGTACATGCTTTTATTCCTATACCCAATATTGATCTCAGTTTCATAGTTGTGATGTCTTATAAAACGCTTCCATTTTAATACCATCATTTAAAATTCAACAAGTTAAAATTAATCTCTATTAAAAACTAGTACTTTATCCTACTTTCCAAACATATGATAGCACTATACACCAGGTCATAAAGGCTATAAACCACCAAGTCATCTCTAAAGTATCATTATTATTTTCTTATTCACTTTAGATTCCCTGTAGCACTTTGCATTCATACTTATAAAATAAACAGTACAGAAATGTATACTGAACAAAATACCAAGTCTATAGTTTTCTATTTTTTAACAGACTGCATCCATCTTTTCTTTTTTCACCATTCCAACTTCTACCATCTAGATTAAACCTCATCATCTTGTCTAGAGCTCTTCCATCTGGTTTCTTTTGCTTTGATGTTTAAGCTAGTTTTTCTGGTTGCAATTACTACTGACTAGTATGTATACTAGGATAAATTGTTTTCATCCTGTTGCTTTGTGCTCAAAGTTTCAATGTTAATCACTGCCAACCCAGTTTTACAGGAAAATCTACAACCTAGTCCCAATCAATCTTTAGAATACTATCTACAACTTCTCTATATGAAACCTTTGCTCTATGAAGAGACCTTTTTGCTATTCTGGAGTATGCCATGCAACTTATTCATTCTAAGTATTCTTTAATTTTTATTTTCCAACAACTTAAAATAGGCTTAAAATTCATCTGCCTCACAAAACACCTGCCAGTCATTCAAACTCACAGTTTCTTTCAACTTTGGAATCACTGAAACACTTTCACTGGTGCAACTAATGCTGGAAGTTACGTAATATCATCTTTATTGCCTTTTATCTACTAGCTATTTTTTAAAAATAAAACAAAATGATATTTCCCCCAGCAACACTGAACTCCTTAAGGTAAGACACCATATCAATGACTTGCAATTGTTCTTCAACTACCAAGCACAGGAGACCCTTGAAAAATATTATATGAAAAATGATGCAGTTCTTTCCAGTCACCATTTCAAATCAACTATCTCAATGCTTTTTATTGTTTAGTATCCTTTCATATAATTATAGACTTCATTTATCAGCAAAATCTGCCTAACAACTAGAAGTTTCATGTGAGCAGAACACATCCTTTATAAGTATTTGTGTAAGAGCAAACATGTTTTAATTGAGATGGTATTTCAACAAATTACATATATTTCTGATCCTTTACACACTACATTAGATGGCCTCTACATTTCTGCTTTAAAAAATTATTGCAAAAATTATTTTGAAATCTAATTATTGAACTCCCCACATGCTCCCTTCACAAAAAGAGGGAAAATGCAGCTTCTTCCAAGTCTACATATCAGTAAAGATCCACATAATCTACCAGAGACCATAAATTCCTCAAGGGTAGTTTACTCTATTAACACCTATATCCTGTGCACATAATAGAGCAAATGAACTTTAGAAGTAATAAAGTTAGCTGGATTGAATCCTACAAACTATAATTTTAAAAATCCCTAATTTCCTGGCAATAAAATAGAATGGATTCTAAGTACTAAGCTGAAATGCAGAAAGTTAAGGAAAAAAGTGATACATTATAGTAAAATTCATATTCTTTCAATCAATATTCTTTTTTCCCCACATCTAGAAGTTAACACTCCATTTAAAAGATTAACTAACTAATCAAATCCTACAAAGATGCTATTTTCTTAAAGATCATATTCTTCTGGATGACTGAACTAAAACTAGAATCGGAATCTACTTCCCGTGTTCTGGCTTGGTCACTTAAAAAAAAATTTACATGTCCTCTTCAAATCTCTATTTATTCATCTGTTATATGGAGAAAATAAGGATAGCTATAATGTTATAACTGCCATGGAGCATGATAGATATAGTTTTCCATTAAATTTTGCAATTGGTCTCCAAAAATAAAGTCTTTTGAAAACATTATAAAAACTAACCAAAAGGCCTATTAAGCAGGGCACTGTGGTGCACACCTATCCCAGCTATTTGGGAAGTTGAGATGGGAGGATCACTTGAGCCAAGTTCAAGACCATCCTGAGCAACTTAGTGCGACCCCATCTCCAAAAGGGAAAAAAAAAAGCCTATTAAACATACTGACATTATTATATAACTTTGGACACTTTTTGAGTATTCTAATACTGGTATGAGATGCATATTCAAATGGGATGAAAAAAATTTTGAAATATTCCCATAAAATACATCATTTCAACTGCTAGGAGTCCCTTTTCTATCTTACTATCTATTATGCAACATTAAGTACATAATGTTACATAATATATGTAAGTACTTGTTATATATAATAACATGTATTAAATGTATTATAATAGTTGTCATTAATTGTACTTCTACTTGCCCAACTAGGTGGGTAGTGTCATTAACACTTCATAGTTGAAAAAGCAAGGTGGTTAGAAATAGTGTAAACTTTTGTAGAATACATGCTCTTCTTGAACAATCCTATTCACTTTCTGTATTTAGCATAACTACACCAAAACAGAGCCCAAAAATTCAAATGTATCAACCGACAGATTAATGACAGATTTGTTAGCATGTACATACAGTTTATCTCGCCCTCTCTCCCTCCCCCATCTCACATGCTCATACAAATTTCAAAAGTAAAAATGAAACTTGTACATTCAAATGTACACCAAACTGAAAGTGAAACATTATCTTTCTAACCAAAGCAAGACCCCTGTTGAGGACACTAATTATAGCTGGAAAACAAAGGGTTAAGGGAGGACAGACGCTAACTGCCAATCACATAACTAACTAATTCCTATTGCTGGGGAATGTATAATCACAGGTTTATGTTATAATACCTCTAAACTTATGACTCCTAATTTTCTATTTTCAGCTTTCATCCTGGGGTTTCAGATTCAAATATCCTTCTGACTGCTTTGGGTATTCTTCATCTCAGTTAATTTACCAATATACACCCAGAAAACTCATACTATCATTGATTTCACTTTCTTCATGACAATCAATAACAAGGTCTGCTTATTTTCCATAGAACTACTTTAAATCTAATGCCTCCTATACACCATTCTAGTTTAGGTACCCTCAGGATCTCCGAAAAGACCTATCTTACTTTCAAATCTATACTGACATCAGTTATCTAAAATATACACTTAAGCATGTCAATCTTCTCCTAAAATCTTCTAAACAATCTCCAACAGATGAAAAATAACCTCTTCAGCAGGGCAAGCCAACTCTTAAGAGTGCTCTACTTATCCTGTTCATAATACAAAAAAATCAAGCAAATTCTAAATTGTTAGAAACTAACCATATTGGTTATTTACCAAATTTTCTCTGGGCATATCCTAACTTGGTTGCTTCTGAAACCTTTCCTATAACTTCCTCGCTCTGTGCCCTGACAGCACCTCATGAATAACACTATCATAAAATTTATACATCTGCTTCTCCTCAACCCTTCTCATTAGACTATAAGGTTTTTCATGGCAATGGCTGATAGCCCATTCTTCAGTCTCCCAATTTAGCACATAGTAGGTACTCAGTGCAAACCTACATAGGTACTATCACAAATATTTTCCAGATTTTCCCTTTGGACTTGTAAGATTAAATTTGGGTTTTACATTTTAAATCTGGATGAATTACAATAAACATTCCATACCATGTTACTGAATTTTCCTAAAAAGGAAAAGAGCAATAACTCAGGAAAAATTCAAACTACAGAAATTAAGAAAATCAATCATTTTATGAACAAATGATTTAGTACCATCAAAATTATTATCATAAAAATAACTAAACTTCCATTAAACTAAAATAGATGCCATTAATCATTACTTACAGAATTATATTTGGACATATGCATGCTATTACTTACAAAACAGAATAGAAGCAAATATGCAACTGATTAACTAAAGTGCTAAATAGCTTCAGAAAACTATTGGGTGAATGTTCAAAATATGTGACGTAAAAACCTCAACGATTTAAAGAAATAAATGCATGTAAATATGAAGAAAAGACAATGCATAAACCAATGAGTTAACAACTTGAAGTGATTTATGAATGTAACCAAAACAATTTAACTGACAATGAATTTTTAAAAGTTAAAAAAAAAAAAATAACCAAAAGGATTAGAAACTGGATTAAAAAAATTCAAGTACACAATAAATAACCTTTAAAATATCTCAAATCTTATTCTTGATTTTGAAAATTAATGCAATCTTAAAATGAACTGTCTACAAATTATGCTAAGTCAGAGCTACCAAATACCTAAATACTAAAACAAGGTAAGAAAAATTAAACAATCATTAGAAAACAATTCTACTATTGCATTTACATACAGAGCGTTATCTCTGCACCTTCCCCAAAACTTCCATGAAATAAAAACTGTATATACACAAAAGCTGACTCTTTTTATGATGTGCAATACAACGGTTCTTTCCAAGTAGTTCTTTAATATTGTTCTAGCTTAGTACTTATTAATAACCGTGTCCTTTTATAATACTATGCATAATTTTAAAGAATTACCTTTAACCAGGTAATAATCCTATGTCCTGGGTTATTCACATATCAAAAACAGCTAATATTTTAATAGTGCCTTACTCTTTTCTTAACACTATCATATATATATATATATATATATTTTTTTTTTCTTTTAAATCTTAAAATATCTCTAGATGCTATTATTTACAAACTGGAAACTGAAGCCCTGGAATTCATAAATACCAACCCATAAAGCTGGGATTAACATCAGATGGCCTGATTTTCTTCAAACACAAATTCCCTTTTATGAGTTTTGCATCTAATGTCGTTCTTTGTAATCAGTCTGGAGACCTATTAATATTATTCTTGCACCTAAAATACACTGACTATGGTATATATCCCTCGTTAATATTTTGTTGTTCCCATTTAATCTTGAATAACAAATTTTTTTAAAAAATACAGAATTACTGATAATCAATTTCCCAAAGTTTACAAGAATGTCTTTCCAAAAAAAACCTATCTAACGCATATACACGTACTGAACGCCCCTCCAGTCAACTATTGTGCTCTCTACATTGACATTCAATGATGTCACAATCTCATAAGTACTGGATTTACAAGAGAATTTCTTTACTTTCCTCTTTACATAAAGCTATTATTTGAAAATTAAAATATTCTATTTCCTTGCCCTACCACAAGTTTTCTTCAATTTTATATCCTGTCTTTCTCACTCACTCTCTGAAAAGGCGCCTATTCTAGCTGAAGGTCCAGCGCCCCCAAGGCTGCACTTGCTAATCCACGCCCACAGCGTGTTTTTCTGCCTGCGCCTGAGAATCTTCTAGAAGGGTTTGGTCACACAGTGCGTCGGCCATCTTGATTCTCCTCGCCCGTGGAGATCTACTCAGTGCCCTATGAAACTCGAGCCGCTGGAGTCCTGCGGAGCCCGCGCAGGGCTGCGTGCGTCAGGCTCCGGAGAGCCTTTACGTTTCCGGGAGGGAGACGCTCGCTGGAGCGCCGGCGACGAGCGCTTTCCGCTGGAGTGGCGCACTCGGCGGGGTCCGACTCCGGTACACTGCGCAGCGTCGGGAAGCGACGGCCCCCTGGACAGCCTGCCTAGAGACCGGGCCAGGGGCGGGCGCGTGGAGAGTTCGAAACCGGTACTTACCAATGTGAGGCGTGGCCTGAATTTTCCTCTGCGGGTTTCAGGAAGACCCTCTGTAGATTATTGGACATTTTAGAGGGTGGGGAAGGGACAGATCATCCAGCAAAGTGGRGAATGTGGGGCTGAGGTTCTCAAGGAAGCGAAAGTCAGAACGAGAGAATATTGGGCTTCAGTTGCCCCGCAGCAATTGTGAGGGGTTCGATGCGGAATGGAGGGAGACCCCAGGCTCTCAAGAGGGCGTATCCCCAAGCTTCCGAGGGAGGTGGCGCAGCCACCCACAAACCGGAAGGCTCCGCGCGCGGCGTCTGCACCCTCCCAAACCCTCTCGGAGATTCAGCGTAAGTCTCCGCCTCCGAATCTACGTCATCGCTCCGCAGCCCTCAAAGCCGGAGAGGGAGGTGTGGCCTTCATGATACCGCCCCCAACTAGGGCCTGATCGGTGAAGACGGCGGCGTCCACTTGGCTCTGCCGCCCCGCCCACCGAAGCCGGTTGCCAGAGCAAAGCTCAGGCCCGGGGCATCCGGCATCGTCATGTCCGGTTACTAAGGCGAGTGGCTCGCTAAGGCTCCGCCCTTACAATGCGACCCAATCGCGAGTGAAGTTTGCCATCTCTTCTTCCGGATCAAGGAACAAATCGCAAAAGAAAATTCTCCGGACGTCTACGCAAAATAAAATATTTCCGGGGTCAATCGTACATTTTTTTTTGTCGTTTTGCTTCTAGCCTAAGTTTTCATGCCTTGCCCTTGTTTGAAAAGACTAAGGCAGGCCTTTTGGAGTACTCCTACACTAGTGGTGTGAAGAAATTTTAGATGTCTTCCTAAAGAAGTCTTGTTACTGGTTCCCTGAAAGTCTCCCCCCACTTCTTGAGCTTTTTCCTCTAGACTTATTTAACCCCTTCTTCCACTTACACTTTCATGTCTCAATCAAAACTGTCATTTATTGYCATATAAACGATTTGTTAAGTCTCGAAAAATATTATTCCTTATAAAAACATTTTTTGACACCTTTGTTTGAATCTCCAGAGAAACGCTTTTCAGAAGTTTCTGGAATACTGAAGTTAAATATCTGAAATGGCTTCAGTCTCTGTTTAAAGGATAGAAATTATAGTTAAATTGGCTCGGAAATGATGTGGAAGGGGTAGTTCCCCAAATCCAGTTTTATCTAGTGTAGGCAATCTCTGGAAAAAAACTGACTGGCACTTCTCAAATTTAGGAGACTAAGTTAAGTAGCCAATTTGAATGTTTATTTTGATTATTTACAAATGGAGTTATTTTTGATGGGCTTATTTCGCTTCCCATGATATTCCCCATTTATTTATTATCCATTTACAGGTACGGCAAATGCAATGATGTCATTCTTCTTTAAAGCTGAGTAATAGTCCATTGAATATATACCACATCTTCTTTATACACTCATCTATTGAAGGATACCTAGAGTAGTTCCATAGTTCAGCTACTGTGAATGGATGTGGCTCATCAAACCAAAAGCTGAATGTTATCTCTGATATGTGGAAGTTAATTCACAAAGGGGCGGGGCACTAGAGAAGAATTGAGTTATCTTTGATTAGATAGAGGGCAGWGAAGGGAGGGGAGGGGAGATGGAAACAGGAAGGATAATAGAGTGAAACAGACATTTTATGTATGTTGACTGCCATGGCCAACGTGATTCTACAACATGTACACTCAGAAAATTGAGAAATTATATCCCATCTGTGTATGCTATATCAAAGTGCATAAATGCGTTCTATTGTCATGTATAACTGATTAAGATAAATTTTTTTAAAAAATTAAATGGAGTTATTTCTTTCTGTAACCCCATAAGGAAATAATACTTGTTTAAAAAACTTCATGTCCATATATAATAAAAAATACTAACTTCTCTTCACTCGGTTGAAGGTTAACTTCAACTATATAGAATTTATCTATATTTGTCTCATTACTGAAGAGGGGGTAGAGTGGTGAGTTCTTAATGTTGCTGTGAATTTTTCATCTATCTGTGAAAGCAAATTACTTGAAAGCGTTTCCCATTCCTGCTTGTTATATTTTTTCATTTACCTATCATTTCTTACCCTTTGCTTCTCATATTCATCACCACTCCCTATAAATAAGACTAAGTATCTCAGGATGGGTTTTCTGGGAAGCAGATTCTTAGGATGGAGTTGGGTATGCAGAAGGTGTATTAGAGATCAATATCTGTGGAAATAAAGGACAGGAAGCAAAAGGCAGAGTGAGAAGCTAAGCTATGATCCCCAATCTCAGACAAGGCCTTAGCCTGCCCCACATAGAAGTCCAAAACTGGCATGAACTTAAGACGTTTTATCCAGCAGGGTGACAGCTTTATGATGATCAGTTACTGTTTGAAGACTGTGATGAAGAGTTTATGCCTTTTGGATAAGAAGGATCTCTTTAGTCAAATCAATTATTCAACTGGCAGCACTCCCAATATCTGGGAGAATATGACCTTCATTCCTTAAGAGCATTCTGGGATGTGCATCACAGCAACCGCTGTAGTCATTAAACCACTCAGACATCCATTTATTGCAATTGATGCTGTGTGTGTCATACTTATTAAGAATCTTCACTCAACAGCAATATTAATTATTCCCTCACTCAAAGCCATTGGTAATTTTCATTCATTGATTTCCTCCTACCTTTTTATCGATTTCTCCTCAGATCTTTTGAAGTTTCATCCTTCTCTTCTCAAACATTAAATAAGGGAGTTCCTTAAATCTTGATCATTAATCTTATTTTCTCAAACTGTCCTGCCTCCAAAGGTGATTTCATACATGCTTATAAGCATTAATTACTACCTCTACCCATTATTATACTACAAAACACAAAAATAACCATATGTACTAGATACTATACTAATATTTACTTCACAAATATTAACTTATTTACTTCCAACTAATAAAAATTATTATATACAGATGAAGAAACTACCCACAGACAGGGCAAATAACTTTCCAGAGATTATACAGCTTCTGAGAGGTGGAGACATTTCCAAATCCAGGTTGTCTGAAGAGTGTTTGTACTTTACTAATATTTTATGCCACAATTTGATTCATAAATTTATATCTCCACTTCTTATTCTCTGATATTTGTAGCTTTATATTTAAGTGCATTGTTGAGATATTTTGAAATTGTTTTTAAAGCTTCTTCAAATAAAACATGTTCAAAACCAAACATAAATTTCACCTATCCACATTACACTTTCTTTTTTCAATGCTATCTCTAGGAAGAAAAACACACTGTATTCTATTAAAACTGCTGAACTACTGGTGTCACACTTTTTTTCTTGCTAGTATATGTACTGCCAAATTGAGTGTCAGGCATCATTCTTTTTTTTAAATTTTCAATTAATTTTTATTGGTGCATTATAAGTATACATAATAATGGAATTTATTGTGACATAATTGTACATGCATATAACATAAATCAGTCAATTTTATTCCCCAGTGCTACATCTGTATTAAAGATCATGCAGACTGATGTCAGCTGAGAACATCGTGATTGTGGAGAGATGGCAAATTGTAGCTTGMGAGGCAAAATTAGCTTGGGCTACATTGAGGCCTTTAGAAAAAAAAAGCCATTTACTTTTTTTTATCTTACCTAACATTATCCTATTAGATAAACCTCTCAAAATGTATTAACATCTTAATAGACCTCTAGCCTCTGCCAATCCTAAAGCTAAGAAGGCTGTAACAGTCAATACCTATAGGAAAAACTTTCCCTCTTTGCTACAGCTTACCTACCTACTGGCCCAACCAATTTATTTCTTAAACATATTGATTGATGACTTTTGTTCTTTGGCTATAAAATAGTTCATGTAACCTCTTCCACATCAGAACAAGTCATTCAGGCAACTTGAATCCGTGTTCCCATGCCACTCATACTTGGTTCAGAGTAAGCTGTCTTATTTCTTGTTTCATGTCATCATTTACAATGGAGATGGATAGGGATGATGGTTCTTTAACAATGTGCATGTATATACCTAAAAATGCCACGAATTATACACTCAAAAATGATCAAAATTATGTACATGTGTATATGTATTTTATTTATTAAAAAATAAAATACATATACACATGCACATAAATAAAAGAACATAGAAAATGATTCTTATGGATATACATCAAAGAACTGTCAATGGTTATCTCTAGATGTTGAAAGAAGTGATTTTACTTTCTTTTTTTTTTTTTATAAATGTTGTGATATTGTGAAATAAACTTTTGGTCTTCCGGGGCKGGGCGGGGCGCTCAGGGTCAGGCACAGCATTCTCCCAGGCCTGGGTCCACCTCCTGCAGTCCTTACTGCTCACCTACCCCAGCTCAGGGCTCCTGGGCCACGCTCCCCAGGAGGGAGGCTCCAGAACCGCCCTCTCACCCGCAGCCTGGTGTCAGGACCCCATCCCCAAGCGACCTCAGACCCTGGAGTCCCGCACCCAGCGGCGGCCACTCCGCGGCCACAAACAGGCATCAATCTTAACACTTCCTCTTTTTATTGTTCCAAAATATAGAATTCTTCCCCAAGTCTTGCAGGCTTCATCTTCTGAATATCTGAATATCTTTTTTATTTCTGTCAMTAATACTCTGGATCAAGGTTATTTGGACTTGTAAAACTTTAACGGATATTGCCATATCCAAAACTGTTTCCTTCCATTGCTGGAGCCAGAGATGCCTTCTGAAACCACACATCGGATTCTGTTGT